GCGGGAGAGGAAGCAGAGGGGTCAAGGAGAAGGTCTAGCAGGGAGAGGATGGCTGGCGAGGCGAAGGCGGGTAGAGGGGGAGGAGAGAGGGGGTGGTTGGGAGGAGTGCTTGCGGATGATTTTGATGGCGGTGAAGCTGGAGCTGACGTGGATGGTGGTGCTGACGTGGATGGTGGTGCTGACGTGGATGGTTGTGCTGATGTGGATGGTGGTGCTGACGTGGATGGTGCTAGGTGCAGCAAGCGAGGCCATGCTCGGTCCACTTCGTCCTTGGCGAATGACACGAGCAGAGCCACCTGGTGGGGGGTGAGTGGGGAAGGTGGGGATGAGAAGGCGGTGGGGGGAGAGGAACAGAAGGGGAAAGGAGATGGGTGAGATGAGAAGTGAGAAATGCAAGTCGAAGGGGGCTGGGCGAAGGGGGCTGGGCGAAGGGGGCTGCGGAAGTGCGGGAACGGGAGGGTGAGGAGACGTGGAAGAGAGAAGAGAGGCATGGGGTGCCCCTGCCATGCCTGCATGGGGTATGTGACAGCCCCTTGGGATCATGTCAGGACAGAGCATCCACTACATATTGCACCACACTGACCATCATGCTTCCTTCTCTGTACTCTACAATCAACCCCACTACACCACACCGCACCGCGCTCACCATCATACATTCGACCGTGCATTACACAATCAGTCCCTTGACATACTCCAACCTCCTCCCATCTATCATTGAGATGCCTCAGAAGAAGACAACCCAGTCACCAGTGCACCACACTCACCTCTGCACCATACTCCACCGCACTGTACTCACCAGCATGCTCTCTTCTTTGTACTCCAACCTCTCCCAGTCTGTCGCTGCCTTGCCCCAGAAAAAGAGACAACACTCACCAGTGCACCTGCACCGCACTGCACCACACTGCACTCACCAGCATGCTTTCCTCACTGTACTCCACAATAAGTTTTTTCACACACTCCAGACGCTCCCCATCTGTCATCGCCGCCCGCAGCACTGCCAGCATGGCGCGGTGTGCCGCCCGGCGCAGCGCAGATGAGCCGACCGCTGACATCATCACGCCAGCCAATGACGACGCCACACGTGTCACTGTTTCTACAGCAATGGAGTCGTTATTGTCAGCAAATTGGTGTTTGTCTGTCAGCGATCGTGGTTGAGAGTGTGTGGGAGAAGGGGGGGAGTGTGAGTCGTTTTTCTCAGTGCAAGAGGAGGTGCAAGCATACAGAGCAGCATGAACCAATCGTATGCCAGCAACCCTTCTCAACACAACGTCTCCCACTCCTCTTCTCCCTGCAACACCACCTGGAGAGCCAGCAGCAAGGAGGCAAGGAGCAAAGCGGAGCAGTGTGATGAGAGTGGTGCGGTCGACGGGAAGGGTGCTGCTGCTGGTGCAGGTGGTAGGGTGAGGCTTTGCAGCTTGGAGAAGCGCCCATAGCAGCAGCACCGCCACTCCCCCCTCCACCTCCCTTTGCACCGCACCTAACCACTCCTCTTCTCTCTTCAACCTCTCCGCTTCTCTCCTCTTCTTCTCTTCTCTGCTTGCTCTACCACCCTCTCCCTCCTCCTCATCCTCCTCATCCTCCTCTTCCTCCTCCTCCTCTTCTTCTTCCTCCTCATCTGGCCTCAGAAGAGCCTTCACCGCTCCCAGCCAAGCATTGCCGCCCAAAGCCCCATCCGCACGAGCTGCAGCAGCAGCAGCACCAGCAGGTGCAGGTGCGGCAGCAGCTGTATTGTCGTGAAGTTGGCAGGAGGAGCGGCACACAGTGAGGGAGAGAAGGTCCACAGAGGGGAGGAGAGAGTGTGCTGTGGCACTGGCAGCACCACCTTCTGTGCTCTCAGCACCACCGATTGCACCTGCTCTGCTGCTGCTGCTGCTGCTGCTACTGCTGCTGCCTGTGCCCATGCTTCTAGGCGTGTATTCAGCTGCGCTCTCCCCTGGAATGAGTGGCCACAAGGCACCGAGGTGGCAGTGGAGAGCAGCCAGGGCGCTGAGCACGGGGAAGATGAGGGGGAAGGGGGGTGCAGGGAAAGGTGCAGGAAAGGGTGCTGGGTCTGAGGCAGGTGAAGGGGGCGAGAGTTTTGAGGGGAGAGCGGAGGGGGGTTGGGGATGGGAGGAGAGGATGGAGAGGAGGAAGGCGGAGCAGCGGGAGAGGGAGAGGAGCAGCAGCAGCGTGGCTGTCTGGGCCGCCAGCAGTAGCTGGGGGGAGATTTGCGGGTGAGAGGATATGTCGGTGCTTGCAGCTGCAGCGGCAGTTGCTGGGACGGGTGGGACTATAGAGCGCGTGACTGCAGTGAGAACGAGGTGCATGCAGCGATGGCACACCAACCATGCTGCCTCCGTGCTGCTGCTGGGAGTTTCAAAGAGGTCTGGGATGATGGAGTGAGTGCCAGGAGGGAAAGGAGGGGTGGGGGTGTGAGGGGGTTGAGGGATGGGAGCAGGTGCGGTGGGGTTGGGAGGTGGGATGGGAGGAGATGCGTGAGGTGATGGGGGGATCATGGAGCGGGTGCCAGGAGGAAAGGGAGGGGTGGAGGGAGCAGGCAGTGCGATAGGGGGGTTGGCTTGCACAAGTGGTGTGATGGGAAGGGTAGGCTGCGGTGCTGGTGCAATGAGAGGGGTAGAGTGCGGTGGTGGTGCCCCTGGTGCGGTGATGGGAGGAGTGGGAAGCGAGGGCGACACGGAGAAGGAGGAGACGCGCAGGGCGGAGGCACGTGAGGGGAAGGGGCTGGGAGGGGGCGGGGGAAGGAAGATTTCAGCAGACAGAGGGGAGAGCGAGGGGAGAAAAGGAGTGGAGATTGGAGTTTGAGAGGCGGAGGTGCAGGGGGGAAGGGAGGAGAGTGTGTGCGGCGGTGTTGGTGGTGTTGGTGGTGTTGGCAGCAGTGTGTGGCGAGGTGGCAGCACGGCACAGTGAGAGGCCCGCTGGACAAGGTGCAGGAGAAGCGGCACCAAGTCGATAAAGAAGCGATGATGCTGGCGGGGGATGCGGGGGAGCGCTGGGGGGAGTGGGGGGAAAAGAGAATTTGACGAGGGGAGAGACGCCGGTGAGTTACAGGGAGGAGTGGTGCCAAGTCGACAAAGAACCGATGGCGCTGGCAGGGGATGCGCGAGAGAGCTGCGAAGACCGGGAGGGAGGGAGAGGGGCGGAAGGGGTTTGGCGAGGGGTTGCAGGTGTAGAGGAAGGGACGAAATGTGAAGAGAGCAGAGATGGGAGCGACGAGGAGAAACACAAAGAAAGCGAAAATAATATTAGTTAGATAGAAAAACGGGTGGAAAGCGGAGGGAAGGCAAGCACACTGACTGTGAACTCATGCCGGCACTCTTACTGACCGAGCGAGCACTGCACTACACCTGGCTGGCTGACTGCCAATTGCCTGCAGTACATCACTTGTGCAGATTCTCAAAAGCACTACACCTGACTGCACCTGACTGACTGCACGCACCGCAAGGCACTCACAGGCATGCGGCCCGGGCAAAAGGTCGAGGTGAGTGCTCAGCTCACGCGATGTTGGTTGGACTTCTCCAGAACAACTCTAACAAGTTGAGCGCACAGCAAATCGTTTGATCCTGTGCAAGGCAGGTCCGTAACTGGTGTGTAGCCCGGTCAGCAGGGCAAGCCGAGTGCTTTTTTGAGAGTTCTTAACAACAGCCAACCTGAACACACCCTGCAGCACCTAATGTGATCTGATCTTATTTGATTTGATCTGATTTCATCATAAGCAATTCGCGGCACTCACTGGTGTGCAGCCCGGTCAGCAGGGCGAGCTGAGTGCCAAACGGCGCCACACAGTCATTCCAAATCGCTCCTCCCTCCCCTCCCCTATCCTCCCCCTCCACCTCCCCTCCCTCCCCCTCTCCCCTCTCCTCCAACCCCAACTGCGCCGCCCGCCTCACGGCCCCAGACAGCCCCTCCACGAGAGCGGCATGCACCTCGCGGGTGTCACCCGCCCCAGATGCCACCTCCCCCACCGCCCGGCACGCCAGCGCACAGCAGCACGGGGAGGCGTCGGCTGGTGCAGGTGGTATGTGGGATGGTGATGGTGTGGAGGAGGGCGAGGAAGGAGGGGAGGGAGAGGGAGAGGAGGGAGGGGAGGAGAGAGGGGAGGAGGAGAAGGGGAGGGAGGAGGGGAGAGGCGAGGAGAGGAAGCGGAGGATGTCCCACGATGCCCGGTCGATGAGGAGAGACGCCTGGTGGGTGGGGATGGGAGAGGAGGGCGGGGGGGGGGAGAATGGAGGAGGATTGTTGGCAATTGGGGCGTGATGAGGTGAGGTGTGGCATGGTGGGCGGCATGGTGGGTGGCATGGTGGTGGGCGGCATGGTGGGTGGCATGGTGGGTGGCATGGTGGGTGGCATGGTGGTGGGTGGCATGGTGGTGGGTGGCATGGTGGGTGGCATGGTGGTGGGTGGCATGGTGGTGGGTGGCATGGTGGTGGGTGGCATGGTGGTGGGTGGCATGGTGGTGGGTGGCATGGTGGTGGGTGGCATGGTGGTGGGTGGCATGGTGGTGGGTGGCATGCATCCCATGAGGTAGGGCGGAGGAGGAGACATTGCTGATGGACGAATGGAGGGTGTGGGGGGGAAATGAAGGGTCGTCTCAAACAGAGGAAAGAGCGGGGGAGGTTGGAAAGCGGAATGGGTTGAGAGGGAGGAAAGGGATGAGAGGAGGGTTGATGGTTGTGGAGGGGTGTGTAATGAAAGGGGGTAAATGAAGACGGGAGCGGGTGAGGACAGAGATGGGATGGGGTGGGATGGGGGCATGATGGCAGGGTATGTTCCTGAGGGGTACATGGATGGATGGAAGGAGAGGGAGAGGTGCTGCGGCATGTCAGGGGGTTTGTTGGGCCGATACGAGGAGAAAAAAGAGGTGAAGAAACGCTCGATTCTTTGCCTGACGGGGAAATGCAGGCGATGATATATGAGTCATGCGCGAGTGGATGACCTTTTTCCTCACCCCACCTTCCCCCCTCTCACCCTACCTCCTCATCATCCCTCCTCCCCCGCACTACCTGGCGGCCTGACAGCAGCGACAGCAGCAGCTGCAGCACGCGCCACACGGCGGGCTCCCGACTCTGCTCATCCGCACCAGCACGAGCGGAACAGCCTTCGCTTTCCGAGTCCTTTCCAGCAGCATCCGCACCGCCATTCACGGCAGCACGCGCCTCGGGGCCCTCCACTCCTGCTCCTCCTGCTCGTGCTGCTTCCCCTGTCTCTCCCTCTTCTGCTGCTGGTTTCCGCGAACTTGCGCATCCCTCGTCGCATCCCTCCTCCAGCAGCCGCCTCAGCTGTGCTGACGTGGCCTCGATCTCCTCGAGTGACGTGTCCGGCAGCTGACACAGCCGCTCCGCGCAAGCCCGGACCCTGTCTTGCCACGTAGCCATTCACGATTGGCTTATCGCCAGACGGTAAGAAAATCAAGCAAGGGAGGGTGCGCGCATGTGGCACTGTAGAGTTAGAGGGGCATCGCTATACCCGCAATCGTCGCTCGACACTCATACGACGAAGACCTATCACAAGGTTACGATGCTTTACGACAGACTCGGCGTTTAGCGGATCAGCGAGTGTCGCTGCGACGGAAAGCGCGGGCCCTGGGAGGCCATCCTTAGAGGAAATGACGGACCGCCCTGGCTCGGGTTTCCGATTCCTTACTACATGGACCAATGGCTTGTGTGTCGACAAAGCGCCACGGTAGTTTGAATGGCATGCGAGCCGTGGAAGAGTCTGTTTTGAGGAGGAAATCTCATGCGATAAAAAGCTACTCGATTTCACACGAGACCGTTGTGTTTGTAATTACGTTTTCTCCCACCATCATTAACAACATTTCTACATAAGAAATATACAACTGCAAAGTGGGAGTTTGAAATCACCCTAGACCTTCTGAAATCTCAGTCTCCGCAAAGTGGGAAGTCTGAAATCACCCTGAAATCAGGGTAATTACCCTGATAAAATCAGCCCTGCCGCACCCCATTGAATTGAACACTCCTGTGGCTTGGAAGCGTTTCAGCTCGGTTAGCAGCGCACACTGCAAGGTGCTGAGCTGGCAGGAGCAACACTACACTGCAAGCCAGCTCACAGCGATAGATCACCAAGCTAGCATGCGTTGCCTTGCCGGCCTTCATCCCATCACAGCGCTGTGCTCCCTCCTCGTAGGTATCATATATTCCTTGTGAAGTGCTGCTTCTGACATGACAAACCAGGCCCATCACATCTTTGAAGCGCCTTAGAGATACCTACCTACCGGTAGTAGTATTAGGTTAATGAAGGGCTAAGGCAAGGATAGCCCAGGCCCAGCACCGCACATGACCCCACCGCACCGCACAGCACACATAGCAGCTGCATGCTGCTGCCCGGAGAAGCGATTATTGTAGGACCTGAAAGATGGGCTCATAGTGTTGCTGCAGAGAGAGAAGAGACGGGATGGGCATGGCATGCTCTTGGCAGGTGACTGCCCAGGCAGAAGGCAGCATCTCTTCGCTTCACTCCCTCAGACGACAGCTGGTAGACGGCAGCATCTCTCCCCACCAACCACCACCTCCGTCTCGCATCCAACCCCACCTTACCGCTCTCCACCCCCCACCCCTGCCCCAGCACATGCGTGGACGGCCTTTAATCCTGCCCTTCTTCCCTCAACCAGACCTACTTTCTTCCTTAGCGCCCTCCATCCCTCTATCACCGCCCCTCAAAGTTGGTGGAGATGGGCGGCTGGTGCGTTGTCGAGTGCAGCACAAGCGAGTCCGCCCCGCCAACTCCAACCAACTAGCACAGCATCCCCTCCCCCTCCTCCTCCCCTGCTCCCCGCCACAAGAATGGACGGCTCAGATACATAGCTGGGGTCGAGGCGCTCTGAATCTCCTCCACCTACTCCTCTCCTAAACACCTATATGCCTGTCACCGCCCCGCGAAGTTGGTGGAGATGGGCGGCTGGTGTGTTGTCGAGTGAAGTGCTAGCGAGTCTGCCCCCCCAACGCCAACCAGCTCCAGCACCGCATCCCCTCCCCCTCCTCCTCCCCTGCTCCCCGCCACCGGAGTGGACGGCTCAGATACATAGCTGGGGTCGCTCTCGCGCTTGAGGCGCCGTTGGATCTCCACCAGCCACGTCAGCGCGTCGGTCATCTCGGGGCGGTGGCGCGCCTTGTCTCTAGTGCACTTGTCGGCTATCTCCGCCATGGCTTTAATGGCTTCTTTGTCGTAGTCGCCCTTAAATGCCGGGTCCACTATCTCCTCTACGTTGCCTTTTTTGAGGTACATGATCGCCTGGCAAGGGGAGGAAGCCGGAAGGGGAGGTGGGGGGACAGGGGGAAAGTGGAGGGGCAAGGGACGGGTTAAAGGAGCTGGGAAGGGACCAGGGGAGAGCAGGAGGGGGAAGGGGAAGGGATGTAAGCAGGCGCGCATTGTCTCTAGTGCACTTGTCGGCTATCTCCGCCATGGCTTTAATGGCCTCCCTGTCGTAGCCCCCCTTGAATGCCGGGTCGACGATCTCCTCTAGGTTGCCCACCTTCAGATACATGATGGCCTGGGGGGTGGAAACGGGAGAAGCGGGGATGGGGAAGGAGACGGGGAATGGGAGAAACCACTATCTCCCTGTCTTAGTCGCCCTTCAGTGTACCTAGAAGGTCCACAATCTCTTCTAGGTTGCCCTTCTTCAGGTACATGATCGCCTGAGGGGGAGACAGGGGGGCGTGGTGGATGAGAGCAGAAAGGGATCACAGGAGGGGTGGAGTCGCCCTTCAGTGCCGGGTCCATGCCAAGCTGTTTCGTCCCCAATCTAGCATCACCCATATCATCCCATCCCATCCCAGCCCACCACACCCCACCGCACTCACCCAGATGGGCAGCTGCATGAAGCAGGGCCCATCGCCTGGGCCTGAGTCGGGGTCCTCCACCTCTAGGATGGGCGATTTGCCCGTTATGAGCTCCCACAACACCACTCCGAAACTGCACGACACGAAGGGCCCAAAGGAAGTGGAGAGGAGTACAGCAAGGTGGAGAGGTGTTGAGAAGGGTGGAGCAGGCTCAAGCCTGAGTCCTCCACCTCTAGAATGGGCGACTTGCCTGTGATGAGCTCCCACAGCACCATCCTGAAGCTGAGAATCAGGAAGGAGAGGGATATGGGGAGGTAGAGAGGTGTTCAGAGAGGTGAGGCTGACGCCAGGGCTCTCCACCTATAGAATTGGCGACTTGCCCGTAATCAGCTCCCACAGCACCACTCCGAAGCTGCATGGAAGGCACGGTAGGCCACAGAAACAGGGGAAGGGAGAGGGGGAAAGAGAAACCGGAGATAGGTAAGTGAGCCATTATCCCCCTGTGATCACCTCCCACAGCACCCTCCGCAGCTGCGAAGCAAGGAGGAGAGGAGTACACTGTGGTAGGTATAGGTAGGGGTGGGGTGGGGCAGTTGAGAGAGAACCAAGGGAATTGAGTGAGGAGGAGAGGGTGGCACGGCACAAGGCTTGCTGAGGCATCTCAAGGGCCTGCCGGAGGTAACTCAACGTAAGAATCCTCTGGAGCAGACGACTCTGGAGCAGACGACTCTGGAGCAGACGACTCTGGAGAAGACGACTCTGGAGCGCAACTCTGGGTGGAACAGGCTCGCGTCTCGGTGCTCTGCTACTGGGATGGTCGATTTGGCCGATACCAGCTCCCATCCCACAGCACCCCTCTTAACCCATGGCACCGGATGCGGAGAGGCAAAAGGACTCTACTCGACTTGTGGTAATGTTTGAGCCGTGTGCCATGAGCAACCTGTACACATCGCACTTGGTGGTGACCTTGCACGTGTAGCAGTATTCTGAATCCGCATAGCCTGGTGTGCCTTTGGAGAATTCTCAAAAGCACTCCACACCCTGAGCTGAGGGGCTCAGGACGAAGGAAAGGAGCCCGGCCAGCATTCGCCTCGAGTCAAACCTGCAAGTGACTGCAAGTGTGGGGCACGCGGGTCATCCACGCACCTGTACACATCACACTTGGTGGTGACCTTCCTCGTGTAGTAGTACTCAGGGTCCATATAGCCCGGCGTGCCCAGCACTCCACTCCAGCATTCGCGTTGACTCAACCCTACAGTCGACTGCAAGTGTGGTGCGGAGCAGAGTGAAGCAACACACCTGTAGACATCGCACTTGGTGGTGACCTTGCACGTGTAGTAGTATTCGGGGTCCACATAGCCGGGCGTGCCCAGCACTCGTGTGCTCACCGCCTCCGATGCGCCCTTGCCGCCACTCGCTCCGTCCACCATGTTCTTGAAGAACCCGAAATCCGCCACCTTGGGCTGGTGGGGTGGGAAACATTGCAGAGGTAGGAGAGGGAAGATAAGCAGGCTTTACAGACTCAACAGCCCTCCTTGCCGCCACTCGCCCCGTCCACCATGTTCTTGAAGAACCCAAAATCCGCCACCTTGGGCTGATGGGGTGGGGGAGCAGGCAACAAGGAATGGCAACATTGGGCATACAGCGGGAGACGAACAGATGGGGACTTCAGTGACAAAGGAAGGCCTCCCCTTGCCGCCACCCGCCCCGTCCACCATGTTCTTGAAGAACCCAAAATCCGCCACCTTGGGAGGGAAGACACAAGCAGCGGTAAGGGTGGGAAGATGAGCAGGCTTCACTGACCCACACACCCTCCCTGCCTGCCGCCACTCGCCCCGCCCACCATGTTCTTGAAGAACCCAAAATCCGCCACCTTGGGCTGATGGGGTGGAAGTTGGAAGCAGGCAACCAGGCATGGCAGCAGAGGGCATAGAGCAGTATGGGAGACGAACAACATAAGGCCCCTTTGCCGCCACTCGCCCCATCCACCATGTTCTTGAAGAGACCAAAATCCGCCACCTTCCGCTGGTAGGGTGGGGAATGGAGAAAGAACGGCAGAAAAATGCTACAACCTCACACAAACCCTACTTGCCGCCACGCGGCTCACACTGTCGAACATCAGGCAGAGGGATGATTCATTGCACGATGGAAGAGGAGGAAAAAGGGGGGGGAGGGGGAGGAGATGTTGGGGGGAGGAGATGTTGGGAGGAGGAGATGTTGAGGGGAGGAGATGTTGGGGGGATGTCCCAACAGCTCACCTGCATGTCCCAACAGCTCACCTGCATGTCCCAACAGCTCACCTGCATGTCCCAACAGCTCACCTGCATGTCCCAACAGCTCACCTGCATGTCCCAACAGCTCACCTGCATGTCCCAACAGCTCACCTGCATGTCCCAACAGCTCACCTGCATGTCCTAACAGCTCACCTGCATGCCCCAACAGCTCACCTGCATGTCCCAACAGCTCACCTGCATGTCCCAACAGCTCACCTGCATGTCCCAACAGCTCACCTGCATGCCCCAACAGCTCACCTGCATGCCCTTGTCCAGCAGAACGTTTTCGCTCTTCACGCCGCGGTGCATTACAGAGGGCGTGGTGATCGGAAGGGCGCATGGACAGGCAGGCGGACAGACCCACAACACAACCAGGCAGGCAAGCAGGCAGGAGGAGGGAGGCGATGAGATGACAGACCTGCATGTTCTCGTCGAGCAGGATGTTTTCGCTCTTCACGTCGCGGTGCACCACGGAGGGCGTGGTGAAGTTGTGCAGGTATCGCAGCCCCTCGGCCGCCCCCACTGCCACGTCCACGCGCTGCAGGAAGGTCAGCCCTAGCTTGTGCGCGTCGGGGTGCTCCAAGGCGGCTGGAGGGATGGGAGGCACCGTGAATGAGGGAACAATGGGAGAGAGGGGGAGAGGAGATGCGGGTATGATGGGGAGACGATGAGAGGGAGATGGTGAGGAAACGCGGACAAGAGGAGATGGGGTAAAAAGGGAAAAGGGGGGCGGAGTGGTGAAGTTGTGCAGGTATCGCAGCCCCTCGGCCGCCCCCACTGCCACGTCCACGCGCTGCAGGAAGGTGAGCTCTAGCTTGTGCGCGTCAGAGTGCTCCAAGGCGGCTGGAGGGGAGGCAAAGCAAACGGAGGGCAAGATAATGGGAAGTTGGGGACACGAAAAGTTAGCCTGCGTCGGGGTGGAAAGGGGTCGGGGGATGAAGCGGGGGTCATGGGGGTCGGGGGATGAAGCGAGGGTCATGGGGGTCGGGGGATGAAGCGAGGGTCATGGGGGTCGGGGGATGAAGCGAGGGTCATGGGGGTCGGGGGATGAAGCGAGGGTCATGGGGGTCGGGGGACGAAGCGAGGGTCATGGGGGTCGGGGGATGAAGCGAGGGTCATGGGGTCGGGGGATGAAGCGAGGGTCATGGGGGTCGGGGGATGAAGCGAGAGTCATGGGGGTTGGGGGATGAAGCGAGGGTCATGGGGGTCGGGGGATGAAGCGAGGGTCATGGGGGTCGGGGGATGAAGCGAGAGTCATGGAGGTCGGGGGATGAAGCGAGGGTCATGGGGGTCGGGGGATGAAGCGAGGGTCATGGGGGTCGGGGGAAGAAGCGAGGGTCATGGGGGTCGGTCGGGGGATGAAGCGAGAGTCATGGGGGTCGGTCGGGGGATGAAGCAAGAGTCATGGGGGTCGGGGGGAAGAGGGCGGAAGTGGAAGGGAGAGAAACTGGGTTCGGCTCGTCTACCAACTTCCCATTATCTTGCCCAAACTGGGTAAAACCCTTCTTTGTCCATAAGGTGGTAGCTTCACTTCAGCACTATGATGCGGCTCACCTTTGGACGGGCGCAGGTGTTGCCGCAGGTTCCCATTCGGCACAAACTCGTACACCAGGATCTGCAACAAGCAACAACAGAGGGAAGGGAAGGGAAGGAACAGGAGCGATTTAGAGTCATCAGGTCAAGTCAACAAAAAACCCATACACAGGGATATGAGAACGAATAAGTGAAGGGTGAAGGAGAGAAACGTACTACTGTTCTCCTAGACAACAACCGTACCTGCCCTGCTCTTCACCTGCTCGCCCCCACTGCTCACCTGATTTCCCTGGTCTGGTCCTCACAAAACGCCAGCAGCTTCAAATCGCTCCACTGCTCCCCACTTGCACGTAGCCCCTCATCGCACCTTGCTTCCTCTCCCCCATCTCGTCAACCCGCCCTTTTCACCCCCCCGGGTCCCTGCTCACCTGCTCGCCCTGGTCGTCGCAGAAGCCCAGCAACTTCACCAGGTTGCAAATTGGCTACCCTTTCAACCTTCAGCCATTTCCTTCATCTCAACCCCACAGGACCGCACTACACCGCACCGAACCCCCACTGATGCGCTCACCTGCTCGCCCTGGTCGTCGCAGAAGCCCAGCAGCTTCACCAGGTTGCGGTGGTTGGTCTGCGAGATCAGCTCCACCTGCTCACATGAGCGGGACGGAGGGAGCGTGGGGGGAAAGGAAGAGGAGCATATTCTAATGCGCCTAGAGTGTTTCAACTGGATAAGGGAGTCACCAGGCGGTGGCTGGTCTGTGAAATGAGCTCATCTGCATGCGTGCGGGGATGGAGGGAGGAGGGGGAGGGCTGGAATATCTTAATGAGATTAAATGCCCGAATTGGATAACAGAGTCACCAGGTTGCGGTGGTTGATATGAGAAGGGGATGTGGAGGCGAGGGGAGGGAAGGGGAGGGGAAGGGAGGGGAGCGGAGGGGAGAGGAAGGGATAAGAGGAGACAGGTGTGGAGGGGAAGAGAGGGATGGGAGAAGGGGAAGGGAATCTGGATGGGAGGGGAGGCGATGGTGGTACAAGGGGCACCCTTTCCTCATCGCACCTCAATCGACCAGCTCTATCCTCCCCTCTCTAACTCCCCTCCCAGCACACATCATCTCTGAAACCTTGCATACCCGCACTGCCCCTGATTCACCCCGAACCCATCCCAACCCCTTCCTCCCCCCTGCCCCAGCAACCTCTCCTCGTCCCCGTTGTAAGTCATCGCCCCTCCCCCGCTCACCTCATTCCGGAAGTCTTGTAGCCCCTTGGCAGTGGAACTCGCCTCAAGCCTCTTCACGACCCACTGCACACCCTCCCCCAGATACACCCGCCCGTACCCGCCCTGCCCCAGCACCCTTTTGAGTCTCCTCA